TTGTTGCTGTTCTTAGTATTAGTATTATTATTACCATGCAACTCATAATTGAAAATACTAAATAGCTCTGGGCCAGGTATTGACCTCTACAGATCCCCATTTTTTATGTCCTCTCTAAAGCTGATGATGAATCACCAAGAACTATTCTTTGTGTCTGACCCTCCAAAGTCCTCAGGACTTTGGCAAATTAAATTTCTTCAAAGTTATTAAAGAAATCTAATCTAACATGGTGATAATTCTGCTTTGTATGCCCCGTGGCATACTCTGAAACTTAGTGCAAAAATAACAAAACAAAGGAACCTCGCTCAGTTAGGATGGCCAATGGGAATAGAACCCAGAAACTTATACTAAACTTGGCTGCAATTATTTCAATCCATCTTGCTCATTAGGCATCTTAAAGATGCCTCAGTTTGCCATGTATTCTAACCCAATAATCCCAAGTTTTTGTTTCCCCCATGGCTGAGGCTCCCGTCTTTGTGCCAGGATCTAACTTTCATATAATATCCATATTATATCTATTACATAATATCTAACTTCCCAATAATAAAAGGCCTGATATTAATATTTACATATTACTTTCATATTTGCCAAACACTTTAAAAATATGTCATTGCATCTTCACAACAACCCTGATATAAATAATAATAATAATTATTCCCATTTTATAGATAAGGAAATTATCCAGGATCATGCAGCTAGTAGGTGCCTGAGGCAGGATTCAAACCCAGGTCTTCAGTATACAATACCACCATCTCTTGGTGTAGATCAGTTGGCCAAGTCCTTGTGCAAGATCTCAAATATTAAGTGGTTCCTCATCAAGCTCTCTCCACAGAAGACATTTTGATCAAAGGATATGCACAACCTACTCCCATCACTGCTACCTTTTCTTGAACAGCTTCCATTTCTTCAAGGTGCAGAGCCAGGCCTCATAAATTTATTTAAAGTTCAATGTGAGCTGAAAAAGAAATCAGACTTTGCTGATTTCTGCAGCTGTCTGGTAACAAGAGCCACCCGGGACACATTTCAAACATCAGCCATCCTCTGTGGCCTGTTCTGATCATGGTGGTTTTCCCCTGGTAAAGTCACAGTGAAGACAGCTTTTAATTATTGTCCAATGTGGCATCCTGATGGCTCCCTGGAGTATGCAGAGCCTGCCTGTAAGGTCATTATTCAACGTTTTACGCACCTAGCTTCTGTCTCCGAATTTTGTTGGGGTTTTTTTTGCCACTATTAGGAAAGATACTGATAGAAAGGCTTCACAAGAGACCAGAGAAATTACATAATCTCCTTTCTGTTTTCTTTTAAATTAGCCAGTCCAAAACTTCTTTCCTTCATTCCATATCAAACACTTATCAAAAGAGTCCTTCCTGTGTACCCATGATAGCCACTGTGTCTTTGCTCAGTTAACTTACACAATAGAATGTAAGCTCTTTGAGGGCAGGAACTATATATTTTTTAAATTTTATTTTGTATCCCCAGTGCTTTTTATGAATTTGATGGGAGGTAGGGGAAGAAATCAATTCCAGAGAATTTCACAAGGAAACTAGTGGAAATCCTTCCCATCAATGGAGATCAGCGACTCATCTGTCTAATGGGAATAGACTGTTCACTCTTCTCATCTCCTTCCCTGGGTTTCCCTGGCTTCCTTCAAGTCCCACCCAAAATCCTACCTTCTATGGGAAACTTTTCCCAATATCTCCTAATTCTAATACTTCTCTCTGTTGATTACCCCCTATTTATCCTGTATATAGTTTGTTTGTATGTTGTTAGTTGCAAATTGTTTCCCCCAATCAATTATGAGATCTTTGAGGGCAGGAATTATCATTTTCTCTTTCTTTGTAATCCTAGCACTTAGCACAGTGCTTGGCACATAGTGGACATTTAATGTTTATTGGTTGGCATTATCTTAGACAGTGACTGAGGTGCTGATACTTCAAAGAACTAGTATATGTCAGAGTCAGGATTTCAACACCCATTTTCTTTATGTCAAGGCTAGTTCTCTATCCATTATGTCAAGTTGCCTTTCTCCTTGAGCATAGTAAGCACTTAATCAATGCTTCTTGGCTGGCATTGGATTGATTTAGACTCACTTTTAAACAAGGGTCCCAATGCCGATACTCAGGAGTTTTAGAGAGAGTAAATGTGAGTGTGGACATGAGGTAGTTACTAATGAATACTGTCGACAATTACTTTGTTATGGGAATACGATGGCTGCAGAACAGAATAATCACCAAATAGAGTTGAGAATTTGGCAATACACTAAAGCAGAATTCAAACAATTTCTTTCTTTGGACCTCATAACAGCCCTGGTGAATCAGAGGAGGGACACAGATTATTTTTCCCATTTTACTGATGGAAAACTATTTTGGAGAGGGTTCTCCACAGTGCACCTTCCGCCTTACAGAACCTCCTCAATGAAATCTTCCCTGGTTGCGCCAGTTCAAATTGACCTCTGCTCTTTTTGGAGTCTAAAAAGGATTAGGTTTGTTCTATTTGGCTATAGGATGGAAAGCAGCAATGGACAGAAGCTGCAAAGAAGAAAATTTCATCAGGAAAACTAGAGATGTTCCAAGGAAGAATGGGATGTGGTTTGGGGGGAGGGCACATGGGGGGATGGGTCTCTTCTTATTGGGGCCTTCAGGTAAAGGCTAGATGGGTGTGTCATAGTGAACTTTCTTTTTTAGGTCGAGGTTGGATTAGGTGGCTACTAAGGTTCCTTCCAACTCTGGTCTGCATCAGTTTTTGGAGCATTTTATCTTCTTGTTTGGTCACATTTTCCCAGCTCTACTGTGTGTTCCTTGGCCTCTTCACCCTAGCAGAATCCTGCGCACACAAGAGGTGGTCAAGAAATCCTTATTGAGCAAGGCTCAGAGAGACAGAGCTGGAAGGGACCTTTATGGTCATTGTCATTCAATCCCTTTTCATTTTATGGATGAGAAACCAAGGCCTAGATACATAAGTGACTCCACTATGCAATAAGTAGTAGAGCTGGAATTTGAACTAAAATCCCATGACTCCAAATTCAACAGTCTTTCCAATGTACCATTCTGCATCTAAAGAATGTCTTTAGGATTAGAACACAAATACACATATTACTGACTTCCTTTGTTAAATGGCTTATTGTTATTCTCAACCTTCAGTCTCTGTGTTTTTTAGTCAAAATACCTCCACAGAATAATGATTTACTGAAAAGGACCTTAGTTAGCCTGGGCAAAAGGGGATGATCCCACATTTAGTATGATTGCAGATTTCTTTGGACTTGAAATTTCTAGTTGCCCATCTGGATTAATTTAGCCATATTTAGCCATTTAAAGCCCTTCACAATCTGGTAGCAGCCTATCTTTTCGAATTAATTTCACCCTACTCCCCTTCAGCCAAATAGGTCTACCTGCTGTTCTTCCCATTTACCACTCTATCTCTTACCTTTATGCCTTTGTACAATTTGTACACTTTGTACACTCTCCCCCCCCCCCATATTTGTAACACTTTCTTTCCTTACCTCTTCTTCCAGGAATGCCTGGCTCCTCTCAAAGTTCAGTCGAAATGTCATCTCCCAAATAAGGCCTTTGAGATTCTTCCAGTTTTTAACCTTTATATTGATTAATCAATGTCCAAGTTGTATCCCATGATAGAATGTAAGTTCCTTAAAAGCAGAGACTTTCCCTCTTTTGTATCCATATCTCCAGCAACATAAAGTGCTTAGCAAAGGGTATGTGAGCTAAATAATATTTGTTGAAGATAATTAAATTAATTCCACTATCTCTGTACTTTATTTGGCATGATGTCATCAGGACTTGAACATTAAGAAATGTTTCCAGAAGATAGTCAGTCACTCCTAATCCCAAATAAAGAAGTGACAAAGTGGAAAGAGCAAAAATTAATTGGGAATGAACCAAAGCAGCACTTTATTAGGACCACAGGGCACCAATTCAACAGGGCATTTGAACAAGCAGATTGAACAAATGTCTCTTGGAACAGAGATAGATGAGTAGCAAGCCCATTTGTTCCAAGCTCTTAAAAGCAAGTTTTCAAACCAGTAATTAAATAAGGAAAGCATCAGAAGACTTGGCGGGGGGGGGGGAGGAATCACACCACCATAAAAGAATGAACATGAACAAAAATTCTGTGTAAGAAGCAAGGCTTTTTTTTTTACAGCTATCTGCAAAGTTCTTCAAAACACAAGTTATTATATAAACCATAAAATAGAAACTTTTTTCCCAAACAATAGAACTTATTTAAAAGCAACTCTACATAGAAAATGCCATTACATCTCATGAAAACAAACCGGAAGTGGACGATTACCCCAAACAGTTAACAGAGTTTCACTTCTCAGCATTGCCTTCGGCTCTGGAATGGGCTATATGCATGTTGTCTGCTCATTCCTTTAAAACATCATATGATAACACATGGAAACCTTAATAAGGTCAAGTAGAGGACCCTCTACAAATAAGGGTGTTGGCAATTCCATCCAAGTAACACAAAGCTACATGGAGCAGGAACTTGGGTGGGGGGCAGTGTTTTTTCCTTTCACCTTTCTCCAACCCTCTCCCAAATTCCACTCGCCTTTTTCTTTTTCCATCTCTCTCTAAATCCATAAGCAAAGATGTTTGTTTTCTTGTCTGGTTTTTTTGAGACTTTGGGGGAAATAGCATATGAAGGAATGAAGAAATATGTAAAGCAAGCCTTGTCATTCAAAGCATTGTAGCCTAATTCCCTCCATGATTCTATTGATAAACCCCCAAAGGAAAACCATAGCTCCCGATGTTTCAATCGGGGACAGTGGATTGCCTATTCTATCCAATAGGATAAAGTTTTCTTTTGATTTAAATTCTCAACATATACATATATATGTATTCTATGTTTACAAAGTTTCATCACATGAAACTAAATTACTTAATCATTTATCATTTGAGGTCCAAGGCCCCAACTTGACTTTACTATGAGTTGTTCTTTAAATGCCGTGTCTGCAGAGGTTTTACATGATATTCGTAGATTTTCAGAGCAGGACCCAATTTTAATGAAAGTCCTGTCAATACATCATTCCTTGTCATCAGCAGCAGGGATTTTCCATCAATTTCCTAAAACAGAAAACATAAAATAAAACCAATTTTTATCTCTAGAAGCTCTAGAGAGTCTGACAAATCTTTCCCTTCCATTTTGAAGGGAGAGATGAAGCACTGGGGATTGTTAGCCAACCAAAAACTCAAATCGTTTTACTTTACATGGGACAAGCTCAAGAAAAATGTTTCCAAATGTCATCTTCCCCTTAAAAAAAGCCAGACAAACTGGGATTCGATTAAACATGACCCACATCTAGTCACAGCTATCAAAATCTCAAATATTACATCTTAATAACTGATGGTGAGGCCTATAGCCCATGACCTTACAATGGGAGAACTGTAGTTTTCTAGATTGAAACATGACAAAGAGAACTAAGTTACTGGTTTCTTCAAATGATTTGAAGGAAACAAACAAAAAATTCCTAACATCAGGCGCTTGGATACACTAACTGTATGCTGGCTGATAGATAAAATAAGGGACAGGCACTAAGATTTCCTGAAGTTACATTCATATCTGACTCACTAATAGCTTTGGGAAACCTACCTTGACCTTAGCTGGGTCTCAGTTTCCCTCTTTAAAAAAAGCAAAACCAAAACCAAAACCTATATTCCTACCTCACACTAGACATTAACAGTTAATGAATGTGTTGGTGTGTCCAACCAATCAAATGGCATCATAGATACATAAGATTTAAAGCTAGTAGGACCTTAGAGATCATCTACTTTAATCCTTTTATTTTCAGATGGGCCTGATGGTCAGGTGAGTGGCGTGATTAGCCCAAAGGTCAAACAGCTGGTGAGCAGCTGAACCTGACTTCAGTGACTTGAACCTGAGTCTTCAGACTCCAAATCCAGAGCAGTTTCCAGAAGAGCAGGCTGCCTGGATGATCTCTAAGGAAGATGCTGATGCCATATTCCCATCTCTGTGGTTTGCTGAGATGCCCACACAGAAAGTTATAAGGAAAAAAAAACCAAATTCCGCTCAACCAACAATTTAACTATCAATCTAGCATGCTCTCACTTCCACTCTGTGTTGAGCTATGTAAGCAAAGGCTGGATAGCCACTTCTCAGGGATGCTCTAAGGAAGATTCTGATGCACTGGTGAGTTACAATAGCTAGCCCCTAAGATTCTAGAAGAATAAAGTTGAGGAATGTAATCTCCTTGAGGGTGAGGGCAGGAGAGGCTTTATTTTTGTCTTTGTACCTACACTGGCCTAGCATGGGGCCTTAGACATCTTTTCTTTAATCTGCATCCATGATGCCATCAGCATAGAAAACACAAGTGTGGAGATTCCCACCAGTGACCAAAGTTGACAAATGATTTGCCCAGGGTCACCTGGACAGTATAGGTCAAAGGCAGAACCCGAATCCTCATCTCCCTGACTCCAAGTCCCATCTTCTACTTATTACAACATACTTTGCATACAGAGTCAGCTCATAAGGCTTTGCACATAGTTGGCATGTAACACTTGTTTAACCATGGACAAGTCCTTCCTCTTCTCCCAGTGCCCTGGGTAACGAACCCTAAGGAAACTTGAAGCTACACTAAGAGTAACCCTTTTGGATCGATGAAAAAAGTTTCTGTGCTGAGAGCAAATCCTCATACAGATAAAATTGGAGGTCAGAACCAAAATAAAATAAAAGTTTCTATTTCTTCATCTGAGGAAAGGGACACTAATGCCTGTACTCCAAAGATTACAAGATGTGGCAAACCTTAAAATACTATGAATCTCTCATTAACTTCATTCTGATGTCTGATTGAATGGAATCTCAACGTTGTAAGCCAACCAGGCCATCCAAACAGCTCCTAGTATGCACATGAATAGATGTATAATCTGAGATGCAATGTGGCATAATGGTCTGAGTGGTAGCACTGGAAGGAGGATGATCTGAGTTCAAGTCTTGCCTTTGGTGGATAATTAGCCATGTGACCATGAGCAAGTCACTGAACCCTTAGCATCCCAGGCAGCATTCTGATACTATAAATTACAGGTGAGTTGGTGATCTATATCCACCTCAGTTGAGAGAGTTTCCATACTGGAAGGTTCCCTACATTAATGAAACCACAGGTCTGGGGAGAAAAATAAATGTAGAAAGCACTGAGTATTCAAAGACAAAAGGAAAACATTCTGGGCCCTCAATGAGCTTACATTTAAAGAAAATGAAAAGTAGCCTCCTTATCTCTGTCTCTGTCTCTCTTTCTCTCCGTCTCTCTCTCACACACACACACACACACATACATGCACGCATAATTGAAGACTTCTAGAATAGAAAGTGTTCTGAGATCCTTGGAATGATGGTACTGTGTATAACATCACCTACTATTTATCTGTTATCAACATCATTGGCATGAATAAAGTAGTTAGAGACCTGAATTCAAGGTCCTAACTAATAAGTAGGAGCAAAATGCCTGCTGGATCCACAGCTCATTTTCCCCCTCATGCCTAGACATGTTTTCACAAATAAAGCAAATTGCTTTCCATGTCACTCCGCACTGCAGGTGAGCTCATTTAGGCAATGGCGATCAATGCCTAAGTGGGAGGTGGCATGCAGCTGGGCATGAGGCTGGAGGAAAACAGTCAGCTCTGAAAGGAATCATGCTTTCCCTAGGGTGATACAGACAGTTCACTAAAGGGATCAGTTTCCTAAACTTCTCATCTACTTGAGGAAGCTGTTATAAGAATAAATGTGATCAAGATCCTAATGAAGTGATTTGAATATCTCCTAGGCAGAGTGCTAAGGAATTGAGGATGACAGCATTATCATCATCAACTTGGCTATGGCCCCCATAACTCTCTTCTCCAGGTTCCGTGTTGTTCCTGGCAATAAAACCAAAGCAGAATCCCTATTAGTTCAGCCTGGGTCTTTTGTGGGTTTGGACTTCTCAGGCCTTCACTGGACTTCACCACTGAACAAAACCATGTGACTTAACCATACGTCACCTAATAACCAATGAGGTAAATACTCAGAATGACCAGTTAAGAGGGCAAGAGAACAGAACCTAAAAGCCACATGGCTCAGTCTGGCAATGTCTCTCAGTCTTTTCTCTCCTTCTTTTCTCCCCTTCTCCTTGGGCAGCTAACATGAGAACTTTATAAAGATCACACAGAATGGAAAAATGCTAGTGTGAGTTCCAACCAGTGTATTTTTGTCACCCAGGTGGCAGGCACAGGTTTGAAGGCTTTGTGAAGTCACCAGCATTCAGAAGCATGAACTGATCAAGGTTTGTTTTCCAGAGACAGGCAATGTCTAATCTTTTTCTGCAGCTCTATCATCTACTTGTTCTCATTTGGGACTTTTTAAACAAATAGTCCATACTACAGGCTTTTAGTCACTAACTGAAGGGGATGCTGTATGTTCTACAAAAAGATTAAGACAGATGAATCTGCCTCTGCCCTGCAAAATCAGGAGGCTTCCATGAGGGCCTGCAAAGTGAAGTCTTTTCATCTCCATTGGCATTAAGTTCTTCCACAACTCAGCACTTCTGTCAAAAGCAGAGAATGTCAGTGAAAGACACCAAAATCTGCCTTCCACTTCAGACAAACTGGAAAATCAAGTTTCATGCTCCAATTTTGTTCTCCCTATGCTCAGCAGACACATTGCTGTTCACCTTGGACCAGGATTAGGAAAAGAAAGGGCTAGATGTAATTCACAATTAAAAACAAACAAATAAATGTATGGGCTCAATGAACAAGATAAAACTGCCAACTGCTGACTTCATGTTTTGGGGAGAGGCAGGTAATAGCTGCTAGGCAGAAGTCAGCAGGTCCATTTTGACTCTCCTGCCCTCTGCCCTCTGCCCTCTGCCCTGTCCCTCCCCTGGACACAGTTCTCTGCTGAACTGCGGACCTCTACAGAAGTAGCCCAGGCATTTTTCACTGTCAAGGCTCTGCAAACTTCCTGAGGTTAAAATACAAACAATAAATTTCTGTGGTAAAACCACAGAGGTTGCAGGGTTGCAGGGAGCCCCCCTCTCTCAGAGTAGATGATTTACGAAGCAACACCCAATGCAACTGAATCAAAACCAGATATCAGGAGGCAATGTGAGACCGGGGAAAGTCAGGTTCAAGCTCCACCTCTGACACCAAGCTGGGGACTGCAAACAATTGACCTAACCTCTCTAAGCTTCAGCATTCTTATCTGTCAAATAGAAAAAAGAATAGTTCTGTTGGGAGGATCACATGAAATGGACACAGCCCTTTTTCAAACCTTAAAATACCAACCAGACAAACGCTCCTGTTATCATCATATGCCTATGGGACATAGCATTATACTGTAAAAGGGAATATTGAGCCGGGTAGATCAGGACCTCACTTCCTCCATCTTGTCTTCAGTTTCCTCCTCTGAAAAATGAGCGATTAGCATTCTATAATTATATGTACTTATATGTTGCTTAAAACCCTTAAAGCAAGTGGCAGGGAAAACTAAAAGCTTTGCACAATAGGGTGTTGTTTTTACTTTTATTTTGAGGGTGAATCTTATTGACTTAGGAAAGGCCTGAGGCCTCTGTCTTCATTGTATCTCTCAAGAAAATACTGACCAAACCTGGGGCTTCCGCTAAGAAAGAAGCAATGTGAAATTTACAAGTTATCATTGACTAATATCTTGCCAGTGACATCAAGAAAGGTGAGAGGCCTTCTACACACATATGTAAATATATACACATACACAAATATATTTACATACATCTAACATATATAAATATACACATATTACATTTATATTTACATACGTATACTTACACATGCTTTTATATATTATATACACATACAAAAATGATTATATTTTAGCAACAAAAAAAGACATTGAAAGGAATTGGCTAAATGATTCTTTCTTGTTGCTTACATTCATCTATATTAGTTAGCATGATGGTAATGCCAATACTTACAGACCTCTTCACATATATTTTTTTATTTGAACCTCACAATAATCCTGTGAGAAAGGTACTATGCATATTATTATCCCCATTTTACAGGTGAGGAACCTGAAACTGAGAGAGTAAGTAATTTGCCCCCATCCACCCTGCTATCACACAGCTACTAAGTGACAAGAGGGAGGATGTGAACCCCGATCTTCCTGACCACCACGCTCAGTCTCCCACACCAAATGGCTTCTTGACAACAAAGGCAGCATCTCCTGTCATGTAACTCACCAGTCTTCAGAATGCTGTCCTGTGTATTAATCTCATTTGAGCTTCACAACAGCACGGCGACATGGGCAGGGAAGATCTTACCCTCATTGTACAGATGAAGAGATTGGGGTTCCAAGCAACTTACACACCGCCAGGCCTGGTACAAAGATTTTCTGCCCCTAAGCTAGTGTTCTTCCCATGGACCACGTTGCTTCACATGCAGATAAGGTGGAATTAACCACCTGGATACCACAAAAGCAAAAAAAAAAATGTGTGTGTGTGTGTGTGTGTGTGTGTGTGTGTATATGTATGTATGAAGATTCAAGCATTCCTCATAAAAATGTAAATTTTTTTTAAAATGGTGGAAAAATGTCCTTCACTAAATGTCCCTTTTAGAGAAACAACATGGAGAGGTGGAGAGTATCCTAGGACTTAGAGTCGGAAGACCTGGGTTCGAATCCCAACTGTTGCCTATCTGTGTGACCTTGAGATGGTCACTTAATCTCAATTTCTCAATTTCATCACTTGTAAAATGAAGGGGTGAGAACAGATCCCAAGTTCCCTTCCAGTTCTAAATCTAGAAACCCAAATTGGAAACAACAGGGGAGCATTCAACCTGTGTTTTACATACATACATACATATACGTATATGCTTATATACATATATTATACATATGTGACATTTTTTTAAAAAATTTTAGGCATTTGGGGTTAAGCGACTTGCCCAGGGTCACACAGCTAGTACGTCTCAAGTGTTTGCTCTGACGCTGGATTTGAATCAGGTCCTCTTGACTTCAGGGCCGGTGCTCCATCCGTTGCACCACCTAGCTGCCCCGACATTTTTATTTATGTATGAATTAGCAAGTTATAAGGGACCTGAGATACACATAACTGGTTATTTTCATGATGGCTTTTTACTGATTAATCACAAAATCACAGATTAAGATCTAGAAGGAATCTCAAAGGTCACGTAGGTTGAACGTTTCATTTTGAAGATCAGGAAACTGAAGGCCAATGATGCTGAATGACTTGCCTAAAAAGCTACCCAGAGAGTAAGCAGAAGAGCTAGGATTTGAACCTGGGTTCTCTGACCCCTAACTCAGTAGCCTTTCCCCTACAACATGCTACTTCCATTGTTAAAGAAGTTCTAAAAAATTTTTTTTAAATAATCATATATTTGGTAACTTTGTCCTCCAAACTGCTTGATTTTTATAGAAAATGAGAAGTTTAACAAAAGGTACTATAACCCAGCATAATATATAATTTAAAGCACTATGATTACGGCTTGTTTGTTTTTTTCATTTTTATTATTATTTCACAGCCCAACGACTGGGGGGTTCCTACCAGTCCTTCCACGTGCCACGTGTGTGCTACTCATTCCTTACCAGTTGTAGCTGGGGAGCCTAGTGGATCATCCTCTCTCTTCTACTTCGATCAGCTCTCTCCCATTTTGAAAAATTTTCTTTGTCACAAATCTCCTGCCATTCACTATCTGACTGCAGGTGGTCACCAGTCTGAAGGTACCCATGCTGCTGCTGCCCATGAATGGTATGAAGGACCAAGTGGAACCTGCATTTCTTCCAGAACTCAGAGTCACAAAGGTGGAGAACCCTGTGCCCAAAACGGGAGCCACGTCAAAAAGGGAAGTATGATACCTCCCCCTGGCCTGGGGCCGGCGCCAGCCCCCGATGCTGCTCATGTGGGTGCTCGATAAAAAATCCCCTGAAAAGAAGTTATCCCCATCATAGATGTTGTGAAAGACACCGTATGGCCTTTGGAACATCAGATCTTCTTCTAGCCGACTCGTCTCTCGGCTGTCATCACCCTTGTCTTCTCTTCCTATGTAACTGTCTCTGGAACTGTCGTAGTCATCACGTTTCCTGGCATCTGACAAGACCTCGTAGGCCTCGGCTACTTGTTTGAATTTCTTCTCTGCTGCTTCCCTGTTCTCTGGGTTCTTGTCAGGATGAACCTGCAAAGCCAGCTGGTGGTAAGCCTTTTTAATGTCAGCTGGCGAGGCATTCTGAGGTACCCCCAGAATTTTATAATAATTCACCATGCTTTTTCACTGGACTCAGGAACAACATTAAGCCATCCGCTCCACTGAGGAATTTTCCACACACTCGTGAAGGATGGATGGCGGCTTGCTGTTCTCACCAGCCCCAAGATCCGCCTCCCTCCCCTTCCTACCACATTGTTTCCTTGGTAGAAATTTTCTTCTGGGGAAGAAACCCCACTCTGATGTCCTCTGGAATTTCTAACCTCCTATCCTCAGTAGGTCATTGCCAATGATGGAGTGATTGTGAGCTCAGAATTCTCAGCCAATGACTCTGCGGTCTGAGTTTTGCCTTGAGATCCTATTGGTGGAAATGTTAGGATAATGGCATAGAAAGAATGATGAAGTATTCCGAAGGGCCCTGAAAGCCAGTGCTGGGCTCACCAGGTGATGGGGATGAGTAGTCTGTCAGCCTTGGCTCAGAAGAGATGTCCGCTGCATCAGCTGAAGCAACAGTCAGAAAAAGCAGGGTTTGCATTCGCATTAGACACAAAATCCAGTTCAGCTCATTGTGAGGATTGGTACTTTCAGTGACCTAATGGAGTTACATGCCTGTGTTACCTAACACTCATTGGTAGAAGTTAGTAGAGGAGAGAGGAGCTATATTATCAACAGTTAACATATATACACCTCACCCTGGAAGGGAAGAAGAATGATCCTTATTTTCACTTGTAGAGAACCTTGGGATAAAGGATGTCTTGAGAAGCAGGATAAGAACTGAAGGCTTATAGATTTAAAGCTGGAAGGGACCTTATAGGGTATCTAGGCCCCTCATGTTGGATTTACTATGGGCCTCCACTCTCTGTGCTAGGTGGTGCAGTTAAGGCAAAAGGCAAAAAATGAATCGGCCCCTCTGCTAAAGCTCACATTCTAGCAAGACTGATGACACATACTTAATAAAACAAACACGGGCTACTTATAGATACATATGATAATTTGGGGAGAGCTAACAACTGGGAGGAGTGAAGGAGAAAGCCTGCCATGTTGTGTTCCTAGGACCCAGCTTTTGTCTCGTACCTATCTTTCTATGCCTACTGGAGTGTCTCCCAAGTTGTAGATGGGTAATGAACATTTGATGAATGACTCTTGGATGAACTGGCTTTCTTTTTGTTCTTGCTTCAAAATGGTGACCTTTAAAATCACCTTTGGATCCCCAAGTATAATATGTATTTATCCATCATCAATTAAAACAGTTGAAAAGGCATGCATAAGAGTGATTAGGCTTAATGTCTAACGGCGTCCAGGTCATTTAAAAAAATACACCTTGAGTGCATCACAAATGTAGCCACCTGTATTCTTCTGATCAGAACAACAAACATGAAAACAACAAATTATGAATAATTGTGATCACGGTAGCTAGTGTTTATATTTTGCTTTAAGGTTTGCAAATCACAGGTATCTCCTTGGACAAATGAGATAAATCTCAAATAAACAAGAAAAAGCCAGGAAACCTCATGAGTGGATCTCATTGAAATACTTTTCTTCTGAATCAAAATGAGCACCAGCCCCGCCCTCCTTTCCCATTGAAAGTGTTGGTTTGTTTTTTTTTTTATGCAGCCACCCCCATAAGATAGAATTGAGTACCTACCAGCCCAATCTGCTACAAAAGAAAATTTCACCTACTGAGCAGGATGTAATTCGCTTACTGACTCTGACTGTAAAATAGGCCAGAGGGCCTAGGTTCATGAAGGTAAGGAAGTAAGTGGTGCTGTAGGAGAAAGAGGTAAAATGAACCATGAAACAATCACCGTTTCTAGCTATTGTACCTGCTGAGACAGCAAAGAAGAATGTTGTTGTCGCTGAGTCGTGTCTGACCTTTCATGACCCCATTCGGGGTTTTCTTGGCAAAGATACTGGAGAGGTTTGCCATTTTCTTCTCCAGCTCATTTTATAGATGAGGATGCTGAGGCAAGGAGGGTTAAATGACTTGCCCACGGTCATACTGCTAGTAAATGTCAGAGGCCAGATTTGAACTCAGGAAGATGAGTCTTCCTAAGTCCAGGCATTTTATCCACTGGACTACCCAGCTGCCCCACAAAGAAGAATAGCAACGGATAAACACTCTAGGAGTGAGCCCCAGTCCAACAGGGACAGCCACCATCTTACAGAATGGATAAGACAAGGAATCGATTGATATCTATTGATGTTGTACCTTAAGAATTCTTTAGAAGGAATTTTGGGCTTCCGTTCTTGTGAGTCTTCTTCACAACCATTTTTCTTATTGATCAGTTCCGGAGGACTGAAATTCCATAGGTCAGGTCATGATACAGGGAAGGATACTTGTATTCAATTTTTTAAAAGTTAATTTAATATTTTGCCACTGATAGTAGGGTCTTCCCAAGTTAGTCAAGAATTCCACGTGTCATTTTCTGACACGTTGTGCTTTCAATTACTGGCTGTTTTGTTGTGCATTTTATATTGTTCTGATGAATTTTAATATATTTTTGCATTTGCATGCATTGAAATTCTCATCCATGGCGAATGTTCAATATTGTTTCCTTCCTTTCTTGTGATTTTCCCCAACACTTTAAACATGCCTGAAGTTGGAAATTTCAAGATGTCAAGGCTCCTTGAAAGCCTTCAGACCTTGCTTTTTATAGGAAAGAATACTTCCAGTGGAAATAAATGTGACTTCCATATTGGAGGGGTCTTATTTCTCTACTAATATCTACTTGTACGACCCCTGGAAACTCACTTCATCTCTCTAGGATTCTCTAGTTTCTTCATCTGTAAGGATGAGGGGGCTGGGTGAGCTAGCCTTACAAGGTCTCTTTGATTCTATGGTCTTCATTGTGGCAGAAGTTCTCAAGGCAGGCAGGACTTATCCCACACTGGAAATGACCTCCCATCCAAGGACCAACCTCACTACATTAGAAAATCTTATTAATAGGATTGGGCAGCTAGGTGGCACCATAGTGCACAGAGCACCTGGTCTGGAGTCAGGAAGACTCATTTTCCTGAGTTCAAATCTGGCCTCAGACACTTACTAGCTGTGTGACCCTGGGCAAGCCACTTTAATCCTCCTTGCCTCAGTTTCCTCATCTGTAAAATGAGCTGAAGAACAAAATGGCAAACCACTCCAGTATCTTCACCAAGAAAACCCCAAATGGGGTTGGGCACTACTGAAATATGACTGAATGACAGCAATTAATAGGGTTGCCAAAGGGGATGGCATTTTTGGCTATTGGAGTTTAAGAGGACAGCCAGTTGTATCAAAGCAGGGCTTTGAATTCGATCAGTGGAGAACATATATACCCACTAAAACTGAAGACTCTTCAGAATACTTCTTCCTAAAGCCCCCTACTCGTTTGGAGGTAGTTGCTGTTACTTTATGAGAAGCAACAAGATGTATTTTATTTTATTTGATTAGTGAGCTCAAATCCACCCTCCAGAAAGGATCACAAATAATCAGTGATCTGGTCGTTTGGGAAAATGTCATTCTGCCTGACTTTTTTGTTTTTCTAAAGGGGAAAAGATATTTCAAGTGAGCAAGTTCAACAGAAATGCTGAGTGAGGAGCTATAGACAGTGAAAAACTGTTCTACTCAGTGTGTTTTGGGTGAGTGGTGGAATAATAGAGTGAAATTAATTCAGCATCATGGGTTGTGTTCTATGATGTCATAACACTGAAAAACAGAAAATTGTCTTAAGAGCAAGTGACATTCTAGGGATGCAACTGTTGATGTCACTCAAGTTGCAATGGCTTGAGGAACATGACATGACAGGACAAAAAGAGAGGAAAGTGTTTGCTTTAGGAGCTCTATCTTCCCAGAGGTTTGATAAGCAGGCAGGGAGAGGCAGACAGGGAAGAATCATGGGTAGAACTCTGAAGGTAAAGGCACTTTTGCTGCCATGATCTAGAGTTGGTATTTGGTGGGAAGGGTGTCAGTGCCACACTGGATTGAAAGACCTTCCCTCGTCTGCTGATATCATGTGGCTTCAAACTTGGGGATTGTGATAACCAGAACCAGTGTGGAAAAGAGTTCTGGATTTCAAGTCCCAAAATTTCCTTTGCTAAGTCATTCTCTCCCACTTGATCTTGTGAGGCTCTGGGCAAATCGTGTCACACCGTTGTGGGCCTCAGTGGCTTCATCTGTAAAGTGAATGAGTTAGAAGCCACGAAGTCAGCATGGGGTAGTGGAAGGGACCCTGGCTCAGGACTTAAGAGATCTGAGTTCAAATTCCCATCTCTGAGGCTGTAGGACATTGGGCAAATCACTTAGACTTCCCGGGTCTCAGATTCTTCATCTGTACAATGGGAGAAGGACCCGTTGGCCTCTGAGGTCTCTTCCAACTCTAGATCTTTACCTGAATTCCAATCCTACCTCAGACACGTAGGGGCAAATCCCTTCACCTCTCCGTGCTTCAGTTTCCTCACCTACGAGATGAAGGGATTTTTACTAGAATGGTCTCTAAGGTTGCTTCCAGATCTAAACCTAGGTTTCTATGATCCTATGACATCAGGCAAAAGGGGAGAGCAGCAAGATGGCGAGAAACAACGCTCTTTGAAAGCTGGTACTGCTTTATTGGTGATGTAGTTGATAGAGTGCTGAGCCTGGAATCAGGGAAGCTCATCTTCATGAGTTCAAGTCTGGTCTCAAACACTTACTAGCGCTGTGACGCTAGGCAAGTCCCTTAAGCCTGTTTGCCTCAGTTTCCTCATCTGTAAAATGAACTGGAGAAGGAAATGGCAAACCACTGCAGTATCTCTGCCAAGAAAACCCAAATGGGGTCACAAAGAGTGGGACATAAGTGAAATAACTGCTTTATTTTTTGTCTCTGTGCCCACTCCCTTCCCCCTAGTGCTTAGCATCATGTCTAGCACATAGAACATGAGCAACACATTCTTGTTGACTGCCACAAAGATCGGTTGAAAAGAGTGGAAATGGGGTAACTGGGTGACGCAGTGGATAGAGCACCGACCCTGAAGTCGGGAGGACCTGAGTTCAAGTCTGGCCTCAGACCAAACACTTAACACTTATTAGCTGTGCGACCCTGGGCAAGTCACTTAACCCCAATTGCAAGAAAGAAAGATGGAAGAAAGAAAGAAAGAAAGAAAGAAAGAAAGAAAGAAAGAAAGAAAGAAAGAAAGAAAGAAAGAAAGAAAGAAAGAAAGAAAGAAAGAAAGAAAGAAAGAAAAGAAAGAAAGAAAGAAAGAAAAGAAAGGAAAGAAAGGAAGAAGGAAGGAGAAAGGAAGAAAGAAAGAAAGAAAGAAAGAAAGAAAGAAAGAAAGAAAGAAAGAAAGAAAGAAAGAAAGAAAGAAAGAAAGAAAGAAAGAAAGAAAGAAAGAAAGAAAGGAAATGTTTGTCTGGAGAAGAGAGGATGAGGGAGGGGAGAATGGGCAGGGTACCAAAAGCTGTCATCAAGTATCTGAAGGACTATTTGAGAGAACACTGATGTAGTGGGAAGAATACTAGATTTAGAGTCATTTGATGGCAATAATAATAATAACAATAATAGCTAACACATATTGCAGGCACTTTACAATTAGTTTCATTTGATCCTCACAACAATCCTGGAGGTAGGTGCTGTTATTATGCCCATTTTATAGATAAGGAAACCGAGGCAGGCAGCAGTTAAATGACTTGTCCAGGGTCACATAGGCAGTAAGTGTCTGAGGCTAGATTTGAACCCCAGGTCTTTCTGATTCCAGGCCCGGCATTCCATCTACTGTACCACTTAATTGCCCAGGGTGATGTGACCATGTGACCCTTTCTCTGAGCCTCAGTTTTCTCATCTCTGAAATGGGGATAATAATGCCTATAGAATTTATCCACTCCCACTACCCTGCCCTGGGCTACTGTGTGGATCAAGTGAGGGAACAGGTGTAGAGTCCTTTACAAATTTTAAAGGATTATATTAATGTCACTTATTATTATTGACATCATGAAGAAGAGGGCTAAGCTTGCTTCTCCTTGCCCCCAGAGGGCAGAAGTAGGGACAGGAGATGTAAGCTGCAGGGGTGGATGCCAAAGTGGAACGGGCCACCTTGGGAGGCGGCTGGGTCCCCCTCGTTGGAGGTCTTCAGGCAGTAGCTAGCTGACCCATCGAGGATGTTGTGGGAGGTACAGCCTGTGCAGAAAATATGCCGAAGTCCCTTCCGATGCTGAGATTCTGTGGGATAACGTGTTGATCAATCAGCACAGAACCATCTATGGAAAAACAACTCCAAGTGAACGCATTAATGACATGTCAATGGTCAGAGGGAGACCACATTTTCCCTTCAAGGGGTCCTTTTTGCACATGGCTCTGAAATTATTTCCCAGGAATTAGCTGCTATAGAAGAAGATTGTACCCCAGACAGGCCTGATGGTACAGAGAATAGGGAACTGAGTGGAAGTCTCCAAATCAGTCCAGCACCCCTGCTGGACACCAGTCCACCCAGTCCAAGACTGCTCCTGGCCTCCAAACAAACCACACTTAATGGCCTGACATCCTCAGAGGTGGGAAAAGGCA